ACTGACAGACCAACATATAAAAATATGCCTGGCTTCATTAACAGTAGGTAAATCCAAATAAAAATCGTACCAGTTTTCCATTCATTATATAGTAAAGATGTCAAAGAGAGGTTAAAATGTTGCTGTACAAACAACAGTGTTAAGTTCAACCACATAAAATTGTCCATATTCAAGTGTTTTTGACATATAAGAGCAGCAACTTTATATAGGTCAACCAAGAAAATGATTCCTTACAGCATGGACTATTACATAAAAAGCATGCATTAAAAAAAGAATGGATGGTGGTGCACGCCTGTAATCCCAGCACTCGGGAGGCTGAGGCAGGAGGATCGTTGCGAGTTCGAGACCAGCCTGGGCTACAAAGTGAGCTCAAGGCCAGCCTGAACTGCATAGTGAGACCTTGTCTCAAAAAAACAAACCAAAAAAAACAAAAAAAAAAAAGAATGGATTGCAGTGTGGTTGTGATAGGTAATGTTTTAAGCATTACAATAAACTGGATTTCTATGAATTAACCAGATCACAAAAAGAAATCTTAAAGGATTATAGAAAACATGTATGCTATGACTTTGTGCAAAAGTAAGTACGAATATTATGTATCAGACATGGATACACATATGTGGCTGTGAAAGAATCTGACAGTGAAGGCGGAGGACACACCCTGGCTCCTGGTGGCACTTGGCTGGTAGGCAAAAGAAGTTGGGCAATAGTTAAAAGGGTCTTCAGCCTTATCTGACATCTTGTTTTTTATTATTTTTAATGAAGAAAATTTGGCTAAAGGTTAACACTTTAAATTCTGAGTACTAGAGCCAGGCCTGGTGGTGAATGCCTGTAATCCCAGCATTCTGGGAAGCAGGGGCAGGAGGGTTGCAAGTTTGAGATCATCCTGGGCAACTTAGTGAGAGTATGTCTAAAAGTAAGTAAATAAATATATAAAAAAGAAAGTTTTAAAAAAAGGCTTTGGGTTTAATCCCTAGTGCTGGGGATGGGGGCATATTTGGAAATGGGTATTATTCATGTGAGTCTTTTGTGTATATAAAATTTCACAAGACAAAAGATCATTTTGACACAAGAAAAGTAAAGTAAAACATTTGTAGCTAATGAGCATCTGGACAGACTGTGGGTTTTGGTGACAAAACACAAGAACAACAAAACAAAAACATAACACCTCCAAAACACAAAAAACTTGAGTTTTTTTCTTCCTCATATTAAAGGTCAGTCACCCCTGAGACATAATACCACTTTGGGAGATAAGGGACTTCATCATCACCGTTTCTGACAGAATTAGTCACAATGAAGATATGTAAGGCAAATTCTTCATGGGGGCGTCCTGTGAACCCTTGATGTTTGTGTTACTTCATTTGCTGAGAAGGTTCACAGTTCCCAGAGCTTCGACAAGAACCCTAAAAAAATCTTAACAAACGTTAGTCTAACTTCACAGGGCTCTTCACACTCTGTGGACCCTCCTGAACCTCTGGCTCGGCCCCACTGCACTTCTCTCTGATGATCACACAGTTCTCCTCCTTCATCCTCTCTCCAGTTAAACAGCAGCTCTTCGGTGGCCCCAGGCCTCTGGTCTTTCAGTCTGTGGTCCGTGTGCAGAGGCTCAACGACTTCCTTACATTGGTATCACATGGTTGAATTAAAAAGCTGTATCATTTTGTATGGCAATTTTTTGTGTGTGTGTGTTCTTTCTGAGACAGGGTCTCGCTATGCAGTTCAGGCTGGCCTTGAGCTTACTTTGTAGCCCAGGCTGCCCTCAAACTCACAACGATCTTTCTGCCTCAGCCTCCTGAGTGCTGGGATTACAGGTGTGCGCCACCACGCCCAGCTCTGTATGACAAATTTAAAAACTTACACTACTTTGATTTGATTTCAATCACAATATCCAGTGCACATTTAAATTTGAAAATAATATTAAAAGAAGACATGGCATTTTTATGTTTATTAAAGAGGGTATGGACTGAAAAATATGAAAACATGACTATAAGACCTAGAGATGAGGACAAGCCAGAAAGAAATGGGATGAAATGGATATGCTTTAAAGGGCTGCTTTTCAATTCAGCCAACTCAGAAACATCCTTTACTTTCATAAATTGGAAAGTGAGGAAACAGACATAGGGAACAGAACTACAGAAAAATCTTATTAGAGTGTATAAAAGCCTTGACCTCTCGAGTTTTCCTGACTTCAGTGGCGAGCTAACAGTCTTTAGTATACACCATCTATGGCTGCTGCAACAAAATATCTAATGCCAACACTATAACACACCATCTGCAGAGCCAGTCTCCAAGATGGCGCCCGACGAGGTCCAACTTCTGGTATTCAAGCTTTCGCACAGTCCTCTGCCACACTGAATCAGGGTTGGGCTCTTTGACCAATAGAATTTGACATATGTGGTGGCATATGACTCCAAAGGCTGGACAGTTCTCTTTCAAATCACTCACTCTGAGGGAAACAATAGCACCATCAAGCTGACCTATGGTGGGAAACCAGTATCTCCAAAACCCATCAAGAACAGAGGTCTCTCACATGAGAGAGTCATCATGCGTCATATACCTCACAGTGCTAAACCTTCCGATCAATGAAGCTCCTTCCAACAGCCCTAGAAGAAACTCTGAGCTGCAACCATCCAACTAAGTTGCCCCTACATGTCTGAAACCCAGAAACTGTGAGATCACTTTTGGGATAATTTTTATGTAGGTATTGGTAACTGCTATACACTATACTAAAGCGAAGTGCTCAGACACAAAAGGCCGCGTAATGCATGATTCCACTCGCACAAAACATCCAAAATGGGCAAATCTAAAGAGATAGAAAGTCAATTGGTTGCCAGAGGCTGGAAGGAGAAAATAGGGGGCCAATGATGATAGGTATAAGGCTCTATTTTTATTTTCAGTGAAAATGTTTGGAAATTAGATAATGATAATGACTAAAATCTTGTGAGTATACAGTACCACAGAACTCTTGTATACTTTAAAGTTTAAAGGGCTACTTATTGTAAATGAACTGTGAATTACCTGAAATATATGTGAGTACCAGGGCAGTAGGTGGAAGTTGGAGTGTTGGTGAAAATCTGAGGGGCCCTGGAGAAAACCGCTTAGAATCTGGGATGGTCTTTGAAGATGCTACACATGTGGACTTCGGGAACCCAAAGAAACTCTTGGGAAACTGGAGGAAAGGGGGATTCATGTTAGTAGTGGCCCGAAGTGTAGCAACACTACTGCTTCTAGCACAGAAAATAGAAAATGTGCCTCAAGAACTGGGGTGAGAGCCAGGTGTGGTAGCGCACGCCTATAATCCCAGCACTCAGGAGGCAGAGACAGGAGGATTGTTGCGAGTTCAAGTCCAGCCTGGGCTACAAACTGAGCTCAAGGCCAGCCTGAACTGCATTGCGAGACCCTGTCTCAAGAAGATAAAAAAAAAAAAAGAACTGGGGTGACCTAGATGGGATTTCCAGGCCTAGTGCTGAATGTGTCTCCTGGATTCTTTTTGCTCCTTATACTAACATGCAACAAAGAATAAGATAAAGGAAGATAAAAAGGGAATCAATGATTGCTTTTTAAAATTCTCAGATCTTCCAATGACAACTGATGTTAAAACTAAGAAATTGCTTCAAGGCAAAGATAAAATCTAGGGCACTTCCAGAAAAACACGGTCTCAAGTTAATACCAAATTAGACAAGAGGTTCATTTTGAATGGGTTTTGAGGCATAGTTGTTGTCTACCGGCATGAACATCAATGAGATTTTCATGATATTCACATTTTTAAAAACCATGTTGGCAGAAGCACTGCTAATTAGACTGAAAGGACAAAGTACAAAGAGGCCTTTGCACCCCCAGATTTCTACAAACAGGAAACAGGCTGCAAAAAACCACTCAGCTGGAAACCACGCTACCTTTCAGGAACAAAGAATAACTCAGAGGACAAAGCCAAGAGTCCAGAGAACATAGCCGAGAGCCAAGAGCCATTCCCAAGACTTGAGTACTAATCAAGGAGCTTACGTCTCACGGGATTTTAGAACTGCTGTGAACTCTCATGTCTTCCACTTCTGCGCTTTTTAACAGGAGGGTCTAGAGAAATTATCCTACATCTGTTTTGCTTTTTCTTTTTTGGTACTGGGGATCGAACTCAGGACCTTGTGTTTACCAAGCAGGTGCTTATGCCACCGAGCTATATCCCCGGTCTCCTGTTTTTCTATTGTAAGTAGTACCTGTGGGGGCAAATAACTTGTCTTTAGTTTACCGGTCTTGAATTATTGGATGTACGGACCACCACCAAGAGGGTAATCCCTCCGACATTCTATCAGGTCCCACATGACTTACTGAACGTGGCAAAGTATGTGAATTCCGAGGCTACCTTATACAACAGATTTAGTTCTGCACTTGCTCATGCGCTGCCTCTCTGTCATCTGCTCTGGGTGATGACAGCTGCCCCGGCATTAACATACTCAGGCAGCGCTACAGAGGCCCATGCAGTGACAAACTGAGACCTCCTGCTAATCACCAGCCATGGGACTGACTCCAGGCACATGGGCGAGCCACCTGGGAAGCATCCCGCTGTTAGACCACTGCAGCACCTTGTCTGCAAGTTTCTCAGAGGCTGCACCACCCTTAGAGGCTGTTCCTGAACCTTAGAAGCTGGGAGATGAAAAGCATTTGTTCATTGAAGCTGCAATAGATAACTAAAATATCCTTTCTCGTGTGTGTGTGTGTGTGTGTGTGTGTGTGTGTGTGTGTGTGTGTGTGCGTAGGGGGGTGGTTAAAGGAGATTGAACCTATGCCACTTCTTTCATGGAGCTACCTCCCCAACTCTTTGTATTTTTTGAGACAAGGTGTTGGTAAGTTTCCAAGACAGGACTGGAACTTGCATTCCCCTTGCCTTAGCCATCCTCAGTGCTGGGATAGGCACCACCACACCCAGCCATTTCTCATAATCTTGACTCTGCTGCTATGTTAAAAGGTCAATATGGAATGGTATTTTTCTCTATTACACATCTAAAAAGTACGTTTTTATCAGAATATTTTATTTCAAGAGTTAATACTTTTTCAAAAATTAGAAACAATAGCTACTTCCCTGAGTATAAAGAACTAATTCTACAATAAAAGACAATTACAAAATTAAGCAATTAGAGGTACATAATTTTCTGCATTCATTATACTGTTACAAATTTATTCTTAAAAAGCGCATGTATTTTGTTTTGTTTTGTTTTGTTTTGTTTTTGGTACCCAGAATCGAACTCAGGACGTTGCGCTTGCCAGGCAGGCGCTTGTGCTGCTGAGCTATATCCCCGGCAAGCGCATGTATTCTGGAAGTTTAATACTTCAAAATGTTTATCTTGCACCTGTAATGTTACGGTATCAGTTCGATCTGTCTTTATCAAATTCCAGGGCAATCTTTAAAGCAGTGCTATTGAGGCCAACAGACTGCATGTTACAGATGATGGAAACAATTACTCCTCTCGGGGGAACCTTGTCATTTATGGTCTCTGCGTCCAGCTCTTCGGGAAGGACCAGCAGGACGCTACTGGCACCCACTGCACCTCCAGTATGGGAGGCGTAATGCCGCTGCTTCCTACAAGAACCATGTGTCTGCTTCTTTTCTACCACGCCCCATGCCATTGCGTATTTACCGTCTTTATCCCAAGACATCTCTGTGTTAGGGACAGGTGTCCACATCATCACCATCGTTTCCGGTTGGAGATATCCAGGTAAAAGATTTTCATGTGAGTTCTTGAACAGCCCGACTTGGTAACTGTAGAGCATTGCATTCCCAAATTTCAGAAGGTCACCCACGGTGGACAGAAACCCACCGCCAGCCCATTTATAGGAGTTATCCACGTAAGGCGTGTTGACAAGGCGTTTCTTTTTATTGTAAACATAAAATCTGAAATGAAATCAGAATGGTCATTAAAAATTCAATAACCTATTGCTGACTTTACATATGATAACGAATAGGAAAATATACACGAGACAGATGGTATTTCAATTCAGAGATCATATATTAACTACATATTTTTAAAAAATTAATTAATTAATTTTTGAGACAGGGTTTCACTCTATAATTCAGGCTGGACATGAACTCACTATGTAGCCCAGGCTGGCCTTGAACTTGTTGCAATCCTCTTGCCTGAACCAGAGGCATGCACCACCATGCCCAGCTCACAGTAACTGTAAATAACCACTAATTTTCAGTATGATTCAGCAACGAGTGATGCATAGGTAACTGAGTAATCTACTTATCTTGTGAATTAAAGCATAGGGAGTATTTGTTTGCTACTGGAATTGCTTGCCTGTGCTGAGTGTTATCAAACTTTTTTTTTTTTCCGGTACCGGGAATCAAACTCACGACCCTGCACTTGCCAGGTAGGCGTTGTATCGCTGAGCTAAATCCCCAGCCCCCTATCAAATTTTTAATACCTACAAAAATGTGCCAATTAAAGCCAGGTGTGGTGGTACACACCTTTAACCCCAGCACTTGAAAGGCTGAGGCAAGAGTATCACCAAGAGTTCGAGGCCAGCCTGAACTACATAGCAAGACCCTGTCTCAAAAAACCAATAAATAAATAAGTTAAATTAAAGTTAAAAAGTACCAATTAACATTATACAGTGTATTTGTCCTGTGCACACGGAGCAACACTTAAAGTTTAGTAGACAGGCCTAGTGCTTGGGGTCATAGTTGAATCGTACCAAAGTGAATCTCCAACTAAAAAAGTATGCACACCGTGATGTTTAGAAGTAAGCTCAATACTTTAAATGATTAGATTTCTGGGATAAAAATACTATATAAATACCACGTACAATGATGTGACATGACACTTTATCTGTGCAGGGAGAGAGGCTGGAGCTAGCAAGCCTCCACTTGTATCCCAACTTTCACCCCTGTGAGCACCGCTTGTTTTATTTGGTTAATGTATGCCACACATTGTTCTAAGAAGTATGTAAATATAAACTAATTTGTTCTTGCAACAACGTTGTAAGGTAGGTGTTATTATAAACTCCTATTTTTACAGGGTAATAAGGTCACACAGCTTTAAGTGGCAGAGTTGGATTTAAGCCCTTTTTTAAATCTGCCATTTTTATTGCCTCTCTGCTTCAGCATCCTAATTTGTAAAATGTGAGAATACTTTTCAGAGTTTGAAAAACATATATAATGCACTGTGTATACTGAAATAATATATTTCATTACAAATTACATTCCTCTTATTTCTTTATAATGCAGTTAAAACACTATGTGTGCTTTTATTAGCTATGACTCTCAATGAAGTATGTTAAAGGTGTTATGAAATATTTGTTAAACTGAAGACCAGCAGGTCTACAGCAACACAACTTAGATCTCACAAAATCTTGCTTTTCCATACCAGACTTAGGTATACTTTTTTCTATTTACAAAGACAAGCTAGCTCTTCTTGGTATTATGGCTCAATACCATGGCCTAAAACTAACGTATTTTAAATATATCCCCTGTGAGCGCTCCCTGTAACTTTGTAGCCCATCACACTGTTTTACTGTCTTCTCATCAGTATGACATTCTCACTTGTTTACATGTTTGGCTGTCTCCTCCCATACATGTAAGGTTCCCAAGGGCAGAAGGCTTGTGAACTGTGTTTATTGAGGAGTGTTCCACCTAGAACAGTGCCTGCCCTTCAGTCAGTGCTCCCTAAATACGCGGAATACACAGAAACGTCACTGCTGGCCAGTACTTCACAAGACACCTTGCAAGGCACAGGAGATGAGAAAAGCCCACAACTCTGCTGCTCTCCAGGGGTTAATGGTCCTGATGACAACCTTTAATTAAATATAAAGCACCAAATTAATCACCTGAGGATTCTGTTAAAATGCAGATTCTGCTTTAGAAGACCCCAAATTCTGCATTTCTAACAAGTTGGGCTGCTTTTTATCCTTTTTTTTTTTGAGACAGGGTCTCACTATGCAGTTCAGGCTGACTTGAGCTCACTTTGTAGCCCAGGCTGGCCTCGAACTAGCAAAGATCCTCCTGCCTCAGCCTCCCGAGTGCTGTGATTACAAGCGTGCGCCACCATGCCGCTTCTGGGCCGCCTTTTTAGCAACAGGCTGTGGGGTGACTCCTTGGAGGGAAGTGAGGGCCCAGCACCGTGAGCATGTGCACTGCTGAAAGGGGAGCCCGCAGCGGGCAAGCTGAGGAGCCAGGAGCCAGGGTGGCTGAGGCAGAGAGCTTGAGAGAGCAAGCGGCAATGTGAGAGGAGCAGACATGAGACAAGGGACGGATGGCAAAGGATCTTTGGTGCCAGGCTAAGAACTTCAGTCCTTCACTGAGTTCACAAAATGCTCGCTTCCTCCAAGGGAGGAAGGTCCTTGCCATAGCTCCCAGCTACCATCTCTTCTCTGTCTTCACCTTCTCTACTTCACATGAAGTAGTCCACACTCTTTCCAGGTGCTCACCCTTTCTCTTCATTCTTGTTTTTGAGACAGGCGGGGCTTGAACTCATGCCGATGCTCCGGCCTCAGCCTCCCAAGTGCTGCAATTACACTAACGTGTGTTCCTCCACCCCCGGCTGGAGGGACCCTTCAGTTCCCTCTTCGCAGCCCTCATCTGATCTCAGCTCTGCAGCCCCGTGACCAGCACTTCCCTGCAGGTCATGGGGTTCTTTCAGCTCCCTTCCGGCCCTCACCCGTACCATTCTTTACGTGTCCAGTAAACAGCGGTCCAGCTGTACCAGGTCTCCTCTTCTGCAGAGATAACTAAAATCGCCTCTGCAACACAGTCTCTACTTCACACTGAGGACTGCATTTCCTGCTGACATGAACAATTTTCCAATTTGGTTTGAGAAAAGGAATGAATTTCTATTTATCTGAATCATGTCTGTCTCTTCCCTCCCCAAATTATTCCTTCCTTCAAAATTCACAACTTTTGAGGGATCCAGGCAAATACAGTTTGAAAAATGACTACTTCCAAAATTTTTACATGTGTCCTAGAAGTTCAAGTCATAATACTTGTTGAAGCATAATAACCGGCCGTTAGAAAAGGGGTGGGCCACAGCGTGTGCCTGAAGAATTAAAACAAAGTCTACAGAGGACCTTCGTCTACTCTTTCAAGAACATATGATTTAACACACGGCCTTTGCATGTCTAAAACCTAACATGTCTAAAACAGAATCTCTTCCAGCACTTCTCGTCATGTTTCCTCTGTCCTTTACATCCTCATAATAGAGACTGTGGTGGGCTCTCTTCCCTGCAACTCTCACATTCAATAGCAAGTTAAATCCTCTTTACTCAATCTCTGTTTTGCGCCTTACCTTCTCTCTTTCTTCTGTTCCTGGGGCCCCTCCCACATGTATTTTACACACGTATACTTTCCCCCTCTACTCTGATTACACTTGCAATGCCACCAATCTAGCATCTAAAAGAACCTACACAGTAGATATATGTGTTCTGACTGAGATATATATTTCTTGTTTGTTTGGGTTTTTTTTGCTTTTTTTCCGGCACCGGGAATCGAATTCACAACCTTGTGCTTGCCAGGCAGGCACTGTGCCACTGACCTAAATCTCCAGCCCTGAGATATTTATTTCTTAGAGTGAACTTCAAGCTTGTTTAATGCAGAATAACCAATATTTTTGGCTAATAATCAGCTTTATGTAACTTCCCTTTAATAGTAAAGCATTTCAAATCACTTGTATTAAGGTTGGGAATTAGGGTCCTTTAGCCATTCCTCCTTCAAATATAAAAATATGGAGGATTCTAGACTTTAATCTCTTTGTTCTTTTAGATAGAAAACTAATCAGTAGCTTTTCATGAAAATAATTTTGTTCAGCTGAATAATAAACTTTACTATTTCAAACTCCTAGGCAATTTCTGTTTAACACAACGGAATACAGATGTAGTTCTTGAGTAGGTTACTGGGACATCTGTGTAACTGAGTACTGATGGGGTGATACCAGATGACAGCCTCTTCCTCCTCACCTTGGAATCTCCAGAGTTTGCATAAGAACGTTATATAACCATAGACCTTTACGTCTACAGATGTGGAAATTCAAAACACCTTTATTTTAAAAATTCTTCTTAAATGCCTTTACAAACAAGTATATGTCACTTTGTATCTTATTGTTACGAGAAGTTCAAGAACTCAGAATTTAAAACGGGTATTGTAAGAGCCGGGAACACAGCTCAGTGGAAGAGCACTTGCCTGTCACGTGCGAGGCTCTAGGTTCAATCCCCAGAACCACAGAAACCCAAACCCCAAACAACAGGACAACATAAAAAAAATTTTTTTTAAGACAGGGTCTTATTACATGGTTGAGGCTGGCCTTGAACTCACTATGTAGCCTAGACTAGCCTAAATTCACATCAGTCCTGGTGGGATTATAGATGGGCACCACAACACCCGCCCATAAAATGCATATTATAAAAGCCAATCCCACTTTAGCATTTACCATTAGTATTTAAGCTCACCCAATAATATAGTATCTCTGAACTAAAAGCCTAAAAAAGTTTGATAAGGAACAATACTTAATTCTGGAAGACATTAAAAAATAAAAGAAGGTAAAGGCCATATCTGTATTATCAAAATACATCAGAAAATATTCATTTAGTATACTTAGTACAGAAAATATTCATTTTAGTACATCAAATTATAAAACTACAGACTTTTTCTTTGTGGTGCTCTGCCACTAAGCTACATCCCCTGCCCCAAAGTAGAGATTTCTGCCACAAGCAGTATGCCAAACACATATAAAATATTAACAAGGCTAATGTACTAAGGATTTAGCTGTCAGCAAACTATCTTTCAATAGCAAGAGCACTGACTATAGTCCCGTGTGGATGTTTACTTAAAGACTTATTTCATTTACTTGCCTATAGAGAATGTATTTGTTATACACAAATGATACTTTTTTTTCCCATAAGGAATCCATTCATGTTTGAGAAAATCTGTTTTACTCAGGACAATGTACTCAGCTAAACACAGGTTTCCTTGCCTCCCTTACATCTAAGAGTGGTCTTATGGCTAAAACGCTGACCAAAAAAATAAGATATATTTTGAGGTGGGATTCTTGGGAAAATACTTTAAATGGGTGACAGACATTAAGTAGTACTATTTTAAATATATATATATATATACACACATATATATATAATATGATTAAAAAGATAATATTTTCTCTTGGGATATAAAAATTCCATAGAGGCTCAGTTAGTGTATATTATAAACAGATTATGATTATGCTCAAGAAGTCAGTTGGAAACATTTCATTTTGTAGGAAACGCTACCACAAAACAAATGCATAGAAAACATGTGGTCACTAAATCTTTATGTTTTTGGGGTATGTATCTTTGAAAAAAATGTTTTTACACCCTGAACTCCCCCCAAAACCTTTAAATTCCTTTAAAATAATTATTACAAAAAAACCCCAAGAATTAGAATCAAGTATTAGAGTTCAAAATAGATACTGTATCAAATAAAATAAAAAACAAAGCAAATAGGCAGTGATATTTTCTTGTTTTCTGGTTGTTTTTAATTGAGCATGGCTTTGCTCAGTTACTCAGGTTTGCCTCAAATTTTTGATCTTCCAGCCTAAAATGAATCAACTACCATGTTAGAATCATGGTGGTGATTCGGTCCTATAGAAGATAAAAAACCCAACAACCAACCAACCAATTAACCTCAGAGTTGAGAGGAAGCTTCAGCACTACAAATATAAAATTTCTCCTTCGGACCGAATGAACACACAAACGTGAGCATGTAAGTGCTGTGGAATAATATGCTGGTGGGGACGGCCACAAAATCCACTTTCTTCTCCCTTAATAAAAGAGCCACAGCAAGGAGCACGCCTGCTCAGCTAGCAACATTTCCTAGCTTCTCTTGTCACTAAGTGAGATCAGATGGTTGTTTCTATCACTGGAAAGTGAACAGAAAGAAAGTGAAATACTTTCAAGTCTGGATCTTACAGTACTGAGCATATCCTCCTCCAATCCTTTTCTCTTTTCAGAAGCTGGGACACCAGTGGGGACACAACTGAGTTTCTAACACACACATGGGACAGAGAGGCTGTAAGATCCAGGTCCCCAAGGGCTTGCATGGAGTGGCACCATCTGCCAACCTGAAGTGCTCCCCTCATGAACGTCACCTGAGAGAAGTAGCCTTTGACTTTCTTCCAGTCACTGTCTTTTTGTGTCTTTTTCTACATCAGCCTAGTCTTTGTCCTAAATTTTCGTATTTATCCTGGTTACATGCAATGCTGTTATTATTCTCCGTTCTGCTTTGTATTATTAAAAAGAAAGGAAAAAAAAGAGAATTGTTGGTATTCAACCCGTGAAATGGACTTTTCAACTCAGTAGCTGACCACTATACTAGGGGGAAAACAGAGTAAAAGGAAAAAGAATAAAGAACATAAACATTTAGCAAACTGAATAATCCTAAGCATAAACAACCAAGAGATACGCAAACTGGTCAGTTAACACTTGACATAAATTCCCTGTCATTAGTCATCTTTCTGAACTAAAACTTTCAAATGAATTTAAAAAGTAAAACAATTTTTTTTCATTTGCTAACACTTTAGTTTTTTTCTTTTTTTTTTTTCATTTTCTGGTGTATTGAAATCTCCCTCTTATCAAATAAGTTCATTTTTTTGTAATTTAATGAAATAATTTTAAAATTCAAATATTTCTATGAGTGGTTTTAAAGTTTATCAGTTTAAACAAGGAACCCTATGTATCTGGTTCACATTATTTTAATCCTGTCTTATTTCAACTGAACTTTTACAATTTTTAGCATTTTCAGGGTTGTGCTTCAGTTACTTTGATGACGTAAATTAGTACTTAAAACTCTAATTTTATAGAAAATTCCATAACATAAACTATAAACTAAATTTTAAAATATTAAAAGGCTAAAACTCTGACTAAATCCTTTTTTAATTGTCCAAAATCAAACCATGTTCCCTCTTAGGACAAAAATCCTAGTTCTAGTTCAAAATTCATCAAATTGTTTTGAACCCATTAATTATATTAAAATCTGCATGGACACTTTGCCTAGGATTCTGCTTGAAATCCAAGTCAAATTTACATATATTAACATGATATTTAATATGTAAAAGCTGTAAAAGAAGACTGTAATTATGTAGCCCAGGCTGACTTTGTTTTTTTTTTTTGTTTTTTTTTGTTTTTTCTCCGGTACCGGGAACCGAACTCATAACCTTGCGCTTGCCAGGCAGGCGCTTTTGCTGCTGAGCTAAATCCCCAGCCCCCCAGGCTGACTTTGAATTTGAGATCTTCTGGCCACAGTCTCCCAAGAGCTGGGATTACAAATGTTTGGCAATACATCCAGGAGCTCAAATGTTTTAAATCTTAATCCTTATAATTAAAATATGCCTAAAGATGCCTCATTATAAAACAATTCTTTAAACTCAGATATATATTAAATGTTTATTTTACTTAGGTAGAACTTACTACTGTGGTATTTTCATAATATACCACATTAGTATTAGGTAGAACTTAATACTGTGATATTTTCATAATATACCACAAATCTCTTATTAATGGGCAGTGGTAGGGGCCTACATAATCCACATAAGGACATTTAAATGTTTACTATTGATACATAAAATTCCTTGATTTAAAAATATTGCTAATATAAGTAAGCAACCTAATAATCACTTACCCTTGCACAATTTTAATATTTTATATGCTTATCATTTCCAAAGCAAGATACTAAATAATGCCTGTGACAGATTATGACCCACTGACTGAAATATAAATCCAAAGTGCATAGTGGTATAAATCAATACAGGAGAGGGCAAAGAACTTCTTTTTTGTGTGTTTTGTTTTGTTTTGAGACAGGGTCTTATTATGCAGTTCAGGCCAGCCTTGAACTCACTGTGTAGCCCAGATTGGCCTTGAACTAGTAACCGTTCTCCTGGCTCAACCTCCCGAGTGCTGGGATTACAGGAGTGCACCACCACGCTCGGCCAAGAACTTCTTATACTGGAATGCCAACTAACAAACACCAAATCAATGATGGAATTAGAAAGTCATCTGGCAAGCATTACTGTAATAAGTGAGTCAGTCGTGAATCATCAATGGATGCAAGAACAAGTAGAAAGTTTAATGAGAAACTGGATTTTTATATAGTATCTCCCCAAAATACATTTATTAAGAACAAAGGGAAAAAATAGTAACTCTACAGTGCAGAAAACTGACAGGTATCACCTCAACAAAGCCATTAAAATAGCATCATTAATAATGGGACAAACTGATAGCACACACGTTCTGAGATGTAACTTAAATATAAATAGGATCCACAGTTGGTCCCTAAACTAGAACTTTTTTTCTAAAAAGAACATTATTAGAGCCAGGGATGTAGCTCAATAGCACAGTGCCTGCCTGGCAAGCACAAGGTCCTAAGTTCGATTCCCAGTACCACGCTCCCCCCCGCCCCCCGCAAAAAAGGAACATTACCGTAATAACTGGCAAAATTACAATATATGGTATAGATCTGATTAAACCACTGTGTCAATGTCAATTCCTTGAATGTCATTGTTTTTAGAAAATAGGGTATCATACTTGGTTCAGAAAAAAATAGAGCAGATAATGCAGATGTGGTACAACAGTAACATTTGGTCAATCTGGTTGAAGTGTATATGTGAATACTTTTCACTATTCTTACAACTTTTCTGTAATTGTGAAATTATTTCAAAATAAACATTAAACCAGTTAAAAACAGTAAAAGGCAAACAAGCAAAACAGGCTAAAATGTAAGAAGAAATGATTGAAGAGTAAAATACAAGTACAATTTTGGCGTAATTGTTCATGAGCTTCTTTTTTTGTTTTGTTTTTTTCTGGTACCAGGAATTGAACTCATGACCTTATGCTTGCCAGGTAGGCACTGTGCTGCTGAGCTAAATCCCCAAGCTCTTGTTCATGAGCTTCTTATTGCTTTTAGATAAGCATCATGGGGTACTTTACAAACACGTTTTATTTCCATGATTTTACTGTATTTTATTTACTTTTTTGGTTTTTTTGAGACAGGGTTCTCACTATGCAGTTCAGGCTGGCCTGGAGCTCATTATGGTGCCCAGGCTGACCTCAAACTTGCAGCAATCCTTCTGCCTCTGCCTCCTGAGGGCTGGGATTACAGACGTGCACCACCACATCCAGTTCCCTCATTTTACAGATGGAATAATAAGACATTCAATAAAGCTCCCAAAACATGGTAAATTTGTTTTGGAACGGAGAAAAGAGAAAGTTTATGTCTAATTGGTAACACAGCATTAAGATGCGATATAGCTAGACACAGCGGGAAGCATTCATTTACCTTGCTCGGTTGTAAATCACAGGCTCGTTTTCTTCCTGCACAGTTGTCAGCATGTCCAAGTCGTGGAATATTTTCTGCATATAGTCCAAATACTTATATCCTGAAGCTCTTTCTACTATGGCTGCCAGGAGGGTATAGCCAAAAGTTGAATACAAAAACTGACTACCTTGAGACATCATTGCAAGGAGGGGAAAAAAAAAAAAGAAAGTGTTTGATAATTATTCAAAAAGTGAAAACTGTTTGCTCACTAAAAGTAGCTAAACCTTTAAAGCTCAAATATTTTCCTTCAGCATTTGGAAAAAGATCACAAATGATACATCAACAAATGCAGCTAACTTTGTAATGGCCTTGCTTATTTCATCTTCTTAACATTAGAAAAAAAATGATGATCAGTATATTTACTTAAAAATTCACATGAATGTGTTCCTTTCTTTGATAAAAATATAAACAAATACATCCTACCTCAAAACAAAACACAAAAATCATTCAAACTGACAAGGGGAAAGAAAGCATATTCTTGAGTAAGTTGCCTTGTCCTCAACTGTGTACTATCCATAGTGTGAGGTATGAGTTCTGATTTTAATAAAATATGTGAGCATAAAAACTTTGCTTCAGATACACACTGAAGTATAAATATATATTTATATATATTATTTCAAATATACAACCTTGTATCACTTTGGCTTCTGGAACTAAAGATTTTATGATCTGTACTAAATATGCTAGTTAACCTTATTTTTAAAGACAAAATCCATAATCATATTCAAATCTATTCCAGGGTCTTGCGATGTAGGCCAGGCTGGCCTCGAACTTGCTATGTCGCCCAGGCTGGTCTTTAAACTCATAATCCTCCTGCCTCAGTTTCTCAAATTCTGGATTACAGATATGTGCCCCCATCCTCAGTCAACACTACTTTCTTTTTTTTTTTTTTTTTGAGGCAAGGTCTCACTGTGTAGCCCAGGCTGGCCTTGCACTCGTGTTGAGCCTCCTGCTGGAGCCTCCCAAGTGCTAGGATTATAGGCGTGGTCCACCATGCCTGCTCAACACTAATTTCTGGAAAGAATGAAAGCACAAAAAATACTAGCAATACTTTATCCTTTCCACTTTGGACTAGGTTTTATTTGCAGAATTATTTTTCCAACATTTCCATATAATTTTCTATGAGTATGTATTTTTTACTTTTACTTTTGTTTTGGCAATAGGGATTGAACTGTGGGGACACTGAGGTAATCTATCTATCTATCTATCTATCTATCTATCTACTTACCTACCTACCTACCTACCCACCTACCTATTTTGAGACACAGTCTCACTGGGTTACCCAAACCTGGCCTCAAACTTGTGCAATCTTCCTGCCTCAGCCTCCTAGGAAACTAGAGTTCCAAGTGTGCAGCACCACCCCTGGCTTCCACGAATACCTTGATACTGAGAATCCTCTAATGACTGGGTAGCCTTCCATGATGATAAACCTAAACAACCAAGTGCCTAAGTGAAACGGTTTGTTAGAAATCACAGACAAAAAGGCAGGTACCGGACTGGCCCCTACCAAAATTAGCAACCACACTGAATTTTAAGATTTCCTGAAAATCAACACTTCAATTAGGACTTTGTTAAAAGATGGTATTAACACTCACCAGGCTTAAAGAACAATGGATCATTTTTAAATAATCTTAAGGATTCAATCGAATTTTCAAACTTTTCTTTCAAATATAATTCCCCTTGTTCAAAATCATTTTTTTTCTTGCCCGGTTTTGAATTCCGGCATTTGGCTTCATTGTCTGGCTCTGTCTTAGCTTTCACAAAGTCATCCTTTTCATTACTTTTGCCTCCTTTTTCTTTGAATTCTTTTTCTTGGTCAGGTGCCAGTGTCCCTCTCATCATAATCAAGGCTTTGTAAGCCTTCTCCTCTTTCACCTTTTTCATGTCTTTTTCATAATGACGAATTCCACTTAAATGGGAAATTAGCAATCTCGTTGTAACAGAGACCTAATTGTAAAAACATGAAAATTAAATTACAGTATTAAACTGTACAATCACCAGTTAATAACCTTTGAGTGAAGGCCTTACCAACATTTTCTGTTTTGAAATGGGCTGGAAAATGTCACGCACAGGCCCTTATCTTTTTTTTTTTTTTTCTCCTGTATTGGGAATTGAACTCACAACCTTGCACTTGCCAGGCAGGCGCTGTGCCGCTGAGCTAAATCTCCAGCCCTCGTACAGACCCTTATCTTAATATTTCAGAAAAATACCCACCAGATTATCATCTGTATTTTAAAAAATCCATGAACAAAAACTGAAGTCGAAGTGAAGAACCCTATGAAACAATTAAGTAGAGTTTTAACATAACACGCCGCTAGTAAAATAAATTGAGTTGCCTACCTTTTCACCCTCGTACTCTTTTTCTGGGAATTCAGGAACATAGTGTTGCACTGGAACATCAAGATCCAGTTTCCCTGCTTCCCACAATTTGGCAAGAGCAACCATGGTGAGGCTCTTGCTGATGCTGGCAATTCTCATGACGGTCTCTGGCTTACATGGTACACGGTTCTCAATATCTGCATAACCTAGGCCTTAGGGGAAAAAAGGAAAAAGTCTCTATTAATAGCTTCGTGGTCAAACACACCTTCAAAAACTGAAATCATCTTATCTTAAAAGATCCTCTGTATTTATCTAAAGGAAACAGGATATCCCATTTCCAAAAGTTAATTAAAACTGGACACGTAAGGATGAGAACCTCAGCAACACTGAACAGTAAGTCTAACAATTTAACCATACAACTAAATTGAAATTGTACCACGTGCACTTTTTCACCTGATTCAGACACTCATTTTTCTTAGCTTAGCTTGACAATTTCTTTATTCTACATTTTTAATAAATAACATCCTTTAAATAAAACATCATCATTCTTTGGATTGTATTCATCTTGATTTTTGAGTGAGTTTCACTGAATTCCCTAAAATAGCCACTCAATAAAAACAAACATGAAGAGATCTGCAAATCCAGCTGACCACCAATTTCATTTGGCTGCAAATCAGAAGAAAAACTATGTACTACAGAGCTTCTAGAAAAATTTTTGTTTGGTTTTCATGTTCTGCACAGGGTACAAGAGTGTCTTATGAAGACATAAGACGAGACATAAGAACGTAAGTCTGAAGGCAACCCATTTGGGACCCCTCCTGTCTCACAGGAGCTCTTTTTATTCCCCAATAAATCTCCCTACTCTTAAAAAAAAAAAAAAGAACATAAGTCTGAAAAGAAAGATAAGGAGTACAATGACTTTTTTTAAAACTGGAAGTATGTATTATGCTGAAAATATCTGTAGAAAAACAAAGCCCTTGCCAGGTGTGGTGGCACAAGCCTGTAATCCCAGCACTCAGGAGGCAGAGGCAGGAGGATCATCATTGTGAGCTGGAGGCCAGCCTGGGTTACATAGTGAGTTCAAGGCCAGCCTGAACTACAGAGTGAGACCCTGTCTCAAAAAATTAAAAAAAAGAAGAAAAAGTCTTCACCCATTGAGTTTATGTTCATTAAACCGAGTACAAAATTTTTTTACAAATTAGGTGTAGGTGCCCTACTTCTTCCATCAAATTTTCCTAAAATTGCTACTTTCTTTAAATGAGATCTAACATGTCATTTACTAAAAGTAAGATTCCTAAAAGCCTGGGTAAGTAACTGGATCCACTGCTGTGCAATGAAGAAGTTATGTTACAAACTGTGCTTTGATAAAAGTATTATAAAATTTAAAAACAATAAAAAAGATAAAAGCACCATAAAATGAATATGCCACTTAACCCCTGTACCTGGTAAAGATGGTAATAAATTAACCATAAACTCATTAAGGATAAGGAATACTGTGTATCCCTATTATTCAGTACAGTGCCTTTTCCATAACAGAAGACTCGGCCGGGTGTGGTGGCGCACGCCTGTAATCCCAGCACTTGGGAGGCTGAGGCAGGAGGATCATTGCAAGTTCGAGACCAGCCTGGGCTACAAAGTGAGCTCAAGTTCAGCCTGAACTGCACAGGGAGACTTGTCTCAAAAATACAAAAAAATAAAATAAAAATAAAAAAATATAAGAATCATGGACTGAATTTGACAAGAAAAATATAGAAATTCTAAAATTTTAATCTTCCCACTTTAAGTGCTACCAGATAAATACGCAATATTGGATATTTGATAGCTTAATGGAAAGCTCTCTATATAACTTTCAGGCTAATAAATCCAATCCTATGAGAAAAGTGAGGGGAGAAGCCATTTTTAAGACTCCAATTATTTTATTAGTTACATTTTAATCATTTATTTTTGATGCTGGGGATTGAACCCAGGGCCTCAAACATGCTAAGTACACACTCTACTCTGATCCACACCTCCAGCCCTATTAGTTGCATTTTAAATTTTGCTGAGATTTAAAAAAACAACAAAAAAATTCTTGGGTTCTTCGTTCTATAGACATACTGTCTCTACAGTATGTATCACTTTATGTAAACTGTAGACTGTAGAAGGTTCATCGGATTCACTCCAACCAGCAAAACGTCAGTATTTTATTTAGCAGCTAGCACTAAACAAGTAACTAAGTTAACACATTTCTGAGCCCACCTTCTGACCAGACTTCTCTTCCATCTACAGAAACTCCAACCACTATGCCGGGTGCGCCCACCTCATCCTAAGAGCGAAGGGGAGAAGACGGAAAAGTTGAAAGACAGGCTGAATCACCTCGCACGCCTCCAAAAGCTCTCAATGTGGGCGTGCCAGGAACAGCCCTCCCCACCACGCCCTCTCGACAAAGACCACGCCCACCAGGGAAACGCCCACGGGAGGCGTCCACGCCCACTGGGGAGTTCCGCCCACCCGGTAAAAAGACCACGCCCACCGGAGAAAGTTCCGCCCACTCAGTAAGACCACGCCCCCTGGAGCTGCCCACGCCGCCCGGTTTCCTGGCCGCTAACCGCAAAGGGTGCGTGCCCTCGGAACACTGGCGGGACAGGGCGGTCCCCCGGCCGGGAGGTGATCTCACCCCCGACTTGGGCAACCCCGACTTGGGCAACCTCGAGAGGGTGACCGTGGCCGGGCGTCGGGAAATGGCAAGTCCTTCTCGGAGGCCCGCCCGCCACCGCCCGGGCGGGGGCGGCTGTGCCCCCCGCTCCCAGGACCCCGAGGAGCCGCGTTCCGGGGTGACCGGGACGGCGCCCGCCGCCCACCTTGATCCTGTGCAGCAGGTCGCGGCTGCTCTCGATGGCTCTGGCGAAGCGCCCGGCGGGGGGCGGCGCGGGCG